TTGTTTCACTGTGAGGATGACAACTCTCTCTCTGGAATTCCTACTTATTGATCTAGGATTTTCCTTGGGCCCGATAGTAGGGCTCTCACATATATATTTCATTGCCTGTCTTCCCAATACTACTGAAGCTAGTGGGACATTCTTAAATGATCATAACTAGTATTATCACCAGAGTAATACAGGTCTACTGTTTTAAAAAAATTTGAACAGGGAAATGAATATAATGCACAACTGAATTGAGGGATGGCACCGTGCCAACACCAGCACCACCCAGCCAAGGCAGCAGGGAAGTGCATGGTCTGAGAAGGGCCCCGCTCCTCTCTGCCCCTGCCTGCCTGCCATGCCCTCTCCTCCCCAGCACCAGGCCATACCCAGCCCTGCCCAGGGAGGTGCAGCTTGGAGCAGGATGGTCCAATGTCTGTCCCACTGCAATATCGCACAGCTCGTGGGGTGCTATTGTAGGTGAACACAGTTTGCCCACAGAGGAACCAAGTGTTGTGAGTTCTAGTCCCACTTCAGCCAAAACTACCTTGGCCCGTGTTCTGTTGCTGTAACTGAAACCACAGACTAATTTATAAAGAAGAGAGTTCTCTTTGACTTATGGTTCCAAAGGCTGGGAAGTTCAAGGTCATGGCACAAGGCCTTTCCTGCTGGGTCCGGACATGGTGGAGGGCATCCATGGTGAGCCAGAGCAAGTGAGTCAGAGAGAGCTGTTTCTGTAACAAAGCCATTCTCCCAATAACCCATTTGATCATTAAGACATGGATGGATTGGAGATCCAATGACCTCCCCAAAATCCCACCTCTCAGCACTGCTGTGCTGGGGCCACATTTCCAACACGTGAGCTTCTGAGGGACACTTTACCCAACCCTGCCTCTCTCGCCTGCAGAACAAGCAGCCTGGCCCACCAGACAGGAGAGCCTCGTACTTCCGACCCCACAGCTGAACAGCCTATCTCAGAGGGTCTCCACCCATCAGCCAATCTCACAACCACTCTGGTGGCTTAGGATCAGTGATTTTGTACATAGAATATAAACTTAAAAAAAAAAAAAAAAAACAGACTGCAGCTCAGGATCCCAAAATCATTATTTTTGGACAGTGGAGAAAACAGGGCACCAAAACACAAAATAGACACCCCAAGGTCACACAGCAGACCAGAATCTGAGTCAGGAGGGGTTGCTCATTCTCTCCACAAAGCCACTCTTGGGCCAAATAATAAGGCAACATCCAGTGACCACTAAGGAACTAAACGTTAACACTAAGTAAATCACCCTGAAAGGGTATAACGTGTAAAACACTCTAAATATTCATAAAGCATACTTTTTCTGCTCCCTGGGCCAGTCCACCAAGCCTTGCAGGCATGACTTTGGGTCACGGAGCGGCACCATCAGATCTCTAAGGCTTTGGCTGCTGTGTGGCTTCCGGGAGCCAAGGGCAGGGACCCCATTTAACAAGCCCAGCAGCCTGGGCGGGAGGTCGCACACCTGGGCCTAGGTTGTTGGCGATGGAAGAGGCCATTTTGAAAGTGGAATGCGCTGGATTTGGTGATGGCTCAAATGTAGGCTGGGGGACTCTTTCCAATTTGGGCTCCCTTTTTTTTAGGATTTATTTATTTATATTTGAAAATCAGAGTTACACAGAGAGAGAAGGAGAGGCAGAGAAAGAGAGAGAGGTCTTCTATCTGCTGGTTCCCTCCCCAATTGGCCAGAACAACCAGAGCTGCACCGATCTGAAGCCAGGAGCCAGGTGCTTCTTCCGGGTCTCCCATGCCGGTGCAGGGGCCCAAGGACTTGGGCCATCTTCTACTGCTTTCCCAGGCCATAGCAGAGAGCTGGATCAGAAGTGGAGCAGCTGGGACTTGAACAGGCGTCCATACGGGATGCCTGCACTGCAGGCGGCAGCTTTACCTGCTACGCCACAGCGCCAGCCCTGATCTTGCTGTCTTTCAAACAAAATGAAAACAAAACACAATAAAATTTTTAAAACATCAACATAAAATAATATGGAGAGAAAGAGTGGGAGGAAGATATGCCAGAGATGAGAGACAAATGGACAAAAGATGATGATAGATAGATAAATAGATGATATAGGAGACAGATGAGATGTGTCACTAATCCTGATAGAATGGCAGGGGTGGCCAATTCCAGACACCAAGAACAGGAAATAGAACCCAAACCTCTACGCCCTGCAGAGCCAATGTCAAGTTAACAGCAAAGGGAAAGCCGGCCTTGCCCTCTCTGCAATCAAATAGCACGCAAGGACACACCCTCAACAGCTTTCCCGGGGGGCAGCAACTCCCTCCCTGCCCGGCAGGTGCCCCTTGTAACCACTGCCCAGCCAGCCGCCAGCACCACTCTTCCTGACCCCAGCTTTCTCCTCCCGGAGGCCCCGTCTCTCCCGCCACAGCCACACCAAGATGGCTGTGGTGATGCTCAGAGTGGTGCGGAAGGACCTGCCAGCTCCGGAGCCGGAGATTTCCCAGAGGGCGCAGCGATGCACACACCAAGGGCTGGGTCCCAGAGCGCCTTCCCACCAGTGCTCCCAGGCCCGGTCCTATCTCCCATCTCCTGGTGAAGCAATCGGCGTAATTAGCCGCATTAATATCCAGGCCGTCTCAGTCGGCCTGTCTCAACTCCAGCCCGGGTGCCTGTTGCAACCAGCACGCAAGTGATTATTCAGCTCCCTTCCAACCAGCCGAGTGGAGAAACTGGGGTCTCGCTCTGGGACGGCCGCCTAGCACCCCACTGCCCTGGGCTGGGTTCTGTTTCCAAGACGGTTTTTTCCGGAAAGCTGGCCCCCATAAGCCACAGGGGCACCCCTTTGACACAGCAGCCCCAAGGAATTTAGACCTTGTTTGGGCTCTGAACATCTTTTAGAAGGCTATGTTGTTAACCAACAACTTCTGAACCCTTTGATTTTTTTTTCATGGGCAAGGAACCATAGGAGCTACTGGAATACTCAAAAGAGGATTGTCTAATCTCCAATTTCCTGCTGTTCCATTGCAGGAAAATCACACACACACACACACACACACACACACACTCATAATCTGGAAAGACAAACAAACGGGCTGGATGTGGGGCAGGGCTAATATATCTGTTGATGGAGCACCTGGCTTATTCCACACTCTGTAGTCAGCATTAGCTTGTCCCAGGCAGACAAGTATCACCACCCCCATTTTATTTTATTGCTTTTTAAGATGTATCGATTTGGAAGGCAGAGTGACAAAGAAAGAGGGAGCGACAGAGACAGAGGGAGGACTCCCACCCACTGGTTTGCCCCTCAAATGCCCAGAATAGCCAGGGAAGGGTCAGGTTGAAGCCCCGAGCAAGGAACTCCACCCAGATCTCCCACGTGGGTGCAGGGACCCAAGCACTTGGGCCATTTTCTGCTGCCTTCCCAGGCTCATTAGCAGGGAGCTGGGTGGGAAGTGGAGAAGCCAGGGCTAGAACTGGCCCTCTGATATGGGATGCCAGCATCCAGGTGGTGGTTTAACCCCGTGTGCCATGATGCCAGTCCTCACTACCCCCATTTTAAAGGCTAAGAGTGGGCAAGCAGAACAAGAATCAGACAGTTCTAATACTATCCCTCTATGTGGCCTGGGGGGTGGGGTTGCTTTACCTCCCTGAACCTTGGAACCTGGGACAATCCAGCACTAGCTAAGTCACCGGCTTCATGAATCCATCTTGGTCTGTGCCCGGAGCCCAGGCTGCTCTGGTCTTTCTGCTGCTGGTGACGGTGCCCATAGCTGCCCTGGGGGTGGGGACGGCGCTGCCAGAGCAGTGAGAGCCCTTCACAGGCAAACAGAGCTGGGAGGGTGGGCGAGGAGGGAATTCCTTTTCATGGGACTCAGCAACAGCGGGGGCTCAGAGCAGGGAACCAGGCAGCACGGATTAGGGCAGAGGGGGAAAAGGGAAGGGACGCCGGGACCTAGGATGCTGCCTCTCCCGCCCCTCGATCCTTCTTTTCAGAGTTTTCCAAGTCCGAAGAGATGAGATCGCGTTGCTCAACAGTGGTGCTCTGCTTGTCTCGGTATTGCAGGCCTGTCCCCAGAGATGCTATCCGACTAGGGGAGGGGATGACCACATGACTCCAGTGCAAGTCATCCAGGGTGTCCTCACTTTGGGTGCCTCCCCTGGCTGCATCTCCCCACAGCCTGCCTCTTTCTCTTTATTTAAAAAAATATTTATTTATTTATTTATTTGAAAGGAAGAGCTACAGAGAGGCAGAGGCAGAGAGGAGAGAGTGAGAGGTCTTCCATCTGCTGGTTCGCTCCCCAGTTGGCTGCAACAGCCAGAGCTGAGCCAATTAAAGCCAGGAGCCAGGAGTTTCTTTCTGGTCTCCCACGTGGGTGCAGGGGCCCAAGCACTTGGGCCATCTTCTACTGCTTTCCCAGGCCACAGCAGAGAGCTGGATCGGAAGTGGAGCAGCCAGGACTTGAACCGGCGCCCATATGGAATGCCAACATTGCAAGTAGAGGCTTAACCCAATACACCATAGCACCGGCCCTGGTCTTATCCTTTTCAAAGGCCATCCCAACAGCTACCTCAGGCCTTGTTCCACCCTGTGAAACAGCACAGGATAGTCACTCTGGGTTCAAATCCAGGCTCTTCCCCTTGGGAGCCATGTGTTCTAATGCTGTTATTATCCTCAGTGGCTTCATCTGTACAATGGTGGGCTAATACCTACCACAAGGGTTCACTGTGCAAATTAAGTAAACGTAATGCATGTATGGTCTCTGGGACAACACTTAGCACATAGTGCATACTTCATGCAGGTCAGCGATGACTAATCTCTGCATGTAAGTTCCTTCCCTCCCTGCCCTGGGCCTCTGCATTGTGTCTCTGTTTGGCATAATGCCTCTTGCAGGAGGTGCCCGGCAAAGATGTGCTAAGGCACGGATGTGATCTGGATCGGATAGGCTGAGACGGCACTGCCCAGGGTTGAAGGCAAGCACTCAGGTCCCAAGGCCTGGCCTTCAGTTGCACCCAGCTACTTACCAAGAGACTCAGCTGGTCCCTACCTGTGCAGCTGAGCAAGGCACAGGGGCTGGAGCCTGGTCGGGCCAGTATCGCTCTGTGAGGACACACGTGAACTTGCTCTCTGGAGAGCCACGTTTCCGACACCAGCTGCAGAGAGCGGAGCAAATGGTAGCTGTCAAAGAGGCGGCCCTGGTACCAGGAGAACAAATGTCCTTGCTCCGCTGGGCACCACTGCTGTGGCCGTGGCATGGTCACGGCACAGTTCAAACCATGGCTGCTGGTACAACGTTACATCAACGAAGTGATCCACGTAATTCACCTACCTGGGCCTCCCTTGCCCTTGGCTGGATAGAGATAAAACAGGCAGTAGCACGCCTAAGCCTTGGTCCCTAAACATTCACTGCGTGCAGCTGTGTCCTGTCCTGGGCTCGTGCTGCAGGCCCAGTGCGTGGTGGGCATCAGCGGATAACGCCCACCGTGAAAGTTCACGGTGACAATGAAGTAAACTCCCACTCTTTGGAGTACGGCCTTCGAGTCGACCCCAGTCTCCAGCAGGGGACCGAGAATTGCCTTAAAGGGTGCTGAGTGGCTAACAGGCATGGGGTGCGAGGAACTCTGAGACGGCCTCTTTCTATCTCAACCCACCTCTGTACTGAGTGTGCTTGTTATCACAGGGACGCAGGCTTGCAGGAACTGAGGCTCAAATAAGTAGCCCGAGATCCACACAAACAGTCAGCTGCTGGGGGGTTGGGGGGGGTCAAAGAGGAGGAGCCTGTAACCCAGAGAGCAGAGGCAGCTGCCTGGAGGAGGTGACGTCTGTGGGTCGAAGGAGGAGTCAGCATCTCAGTGCCACGAAAATAATAGCAAGGACTGCAGAGCTCAGAGACTACAGACGTTTACCTCCAACAGTCCTGGCAGCTAGGAAGTTCAGGATCAAGGCCCTGGCAGGTCCAGTTGGTGGCAGCTACAGTGAGGGACGGCTTCCGGGTTCCCAGACGGCACCTTCTTGCTGAGTCCTTACGTGATAGAACAGACAAGAGAAGTCTCCGGGGCCTCTTTATAAGGGCACTAGCTCCACCCACGGGGGGCTCCACTCTCACAATAATATCACGTCCCAGGGCTGGCGCTGTGGCGTAGTGGGTAAAGCAGCCGCCTGTGGTGCCAGCATCCCATATGGGCGCCGGTTCAAGTCCCAGCTGCTCCACTTCCAACCCAGTTCTCTGGTATGTCCTGGGAAAGCAGTAGAAGATGGCCCCTGCACCCACATGGGAGACCCAGAAGAAGCTCCTGGCTCCTGGCTTTGGATAGGCACAGCTCTGGCCATTGCACCCATTTGGGGAGTGAACCAGTGGATGGAAGATCTCTCTCTCTCTCTCTCTCTCTCTGCCCCTCCTCTCCATGTGTAACTCTGACTTTCAGATAAATAAATAAATCTTTTTAAAAAAAAATCACCTCCCAAAAGTCTCACCTCCTAATACCGTCACTGAAGCGGTTAGGATTTTAACGTATAAGTTGTGCAGGACACAAACATTCAGACAGCAGAGCACTGAGAGTAAAGGAGGAAGCCCTTGTCACTACCAGACTTAAACCCGAACAAAGGTGTCGGAGACTGGGAAGAGTCTTCAGTTCTAAAACGTGTCCAAAACTACTCCAAAAATGAAGATCCACGCGGCACCCACCTTCCCGCAGCCCTGAGACCCTGTGGCTCCAAAGGCAGAAAGAAACCTCCGAAGAGCATCCCCGGGAGAGACAAGCTTAGCCATCATCAAATTCCCTGCCCCGGAAGGAAAGGGAAGTGAAGGTCAAGGGCGAGCACTTGCTGGTCACCGTGGTGTTCCTCGTGGACATCAAGGCCAGCAAGCAGGGGGGCGCAGAGGCCGTCGTGAAGCTCTGTGACCTTGACTGGCAGAGCCGAGCCTCTGGGCCCAACGGCCAGAGGAAGGCATTCATTCGACCCCCGGCTGTGAGGCTCTGCATGTTGCCCCAAAATTGGGATCATCTTAGCTGAGCGGAGTCATCGCACACGTGCTAAGGAGAGATAGTTCTCCCATGTTGCATTGCCACCAGCCGCATCTAAGAGCTCCAGCCCATCCAGGTCCTCAGTTGGCGTTGTCAGTCTCTCTCTTTGTAGTCATTCTAGGGGGTATGAGTTGCTACTTCCTTGTGGGTTTAATTTGCATTTCCCTGATGACTGATGTTAGGGAAGCATCTTTCCATGTACCCATTGGCCATTTGTATATATGCCCTGGTAAGAAGTTTATTAAAAAAACCTTTTGATCCTCCTTTAATTGGATTGTTTGGCAAACATTTTGCCCCCCCCCCCACTATGGGGCTTGTCATCTCATTTTCTTAATGGTGCCTTTTAAAGAGCATACATCTTCATCTCAGTGAAGTAGAAGTTATTTGTTGACTTATTTGAAGGGCAGAGTGGCAGAGAGAGATTTTTCCATCTTCTGGTTCACTTCCCCGAATGCCCACAATAGCCAAGGCTGGGCCAGCCCAAAGCCAGAAGCCAGGAACTCCTAGTCTCTCACGTGGTGGGGGCGGGGGAAGCAGGAGCTCCAGTGCTCGGACAGCACCTACTGCCTCGAAGGTGCACTAGCAGGAAGCTGAAACAGAAGTAGGGGCAAAACTCAGCCCCAAGCATCAGATATGGGATGCGGGCAGCTTAACCTGCTGCACCACCATGTCTGCCCGGTCACTCGTTTCTATTGGTTTAAAATTATATTTATGCCTCATGCAGGAAACTTGCTTTGCAGAATGAAAGTGGGTAATTTGGGGAGGTTAAAGGTATACAACAAAGTTATTTGGGGAAGGGGCTATGTTTTCATTTGCAGGAGTGGGGAATACCCAGCCTGCAGGCCATATAAGGCACACAAAATCATTTGATCTGGCTCTGCCAAGGCAACTGCACAAAACTTGAAGTTCAATAAATCTAGGGGCCGGCGCTGTGGCATAGCAGGTAAGGCCACCACCTGCAGTGCCGGCATCCCATATGGGGCAGCGGTTTGAAACCCGGCTGCTCCACTTCTGATCTAGCTCCCTGCTATGGCCTGGGAAAGCAGTAGAAGATGGCCCAGGTCCTTGGGCCCCTGCACCCACGTGGGAGACCTGGAAGAAGCTCCTGGCTCCTGGCTTCAGATCAGTGCAGCTCCGGCCATTGCATCCAAATGGGGAGTGAAACAGCAGACAGAAGACCTCTCTCTCTCTCTCTCTTTCTGCCTCTCCTTCTCTCTCTGTGTAACTCTGACTTTCAAATAAATAAATACATCTTTAAGATAAATAAATAAAAACCAATCTATAGCAGGCTAATTTTGTGTGGCCTGCGAATGACGTCATAAATACCCAAATGGTCCTTGGCAGAAAGAGTTTCCCCACCCATGAGTGGACACCATATGAGAAAGGAAAGGTCAGGGCGATTTGAAAAGACAGTTCAGGATTTGCCAGAGCACAAATCGTCAGCAGAGGAGTGACATGGAAGAAAGCCAAGAGCGCCATACTTGCAAATAAAGCTTTGGGAACAAATTCCTTCTGCATGCCAAGCATCCAGGCCAGAGCCTTTCCTAACACAGGAGGGCGTCATGTCACATGAGCAGGAGGGGGCAGCAGACAAGACCCAGGGACCCGGCACAGGAGGGCGTCATGTCACATGAGCAGGAGGGGGCAGCAGACAAGACCCAGGGACCCGGCACCAGTCGCTTCTTAAACTGGTGGGCAGTCCACATTCCCAACCTGTGCATGGCAACAGAAAATTACTTCTTCAGCTCAGCCAGGCTCCTGGAAGGGACAACGTAGTCCCTCCCACACTGGGAAGATTTGAATAACCAAAGCACATGGCTTCCTGCAGAAAGGGCCAGCCAGGAACTAACTCTTTCCTTCCTTCCCTTGCATTTATAACCAACCAGGTAATTCTGGAACAATGCACATCCCAGCTTATCAGACAGGGACAACAGTGGCTAGCAGATTTTCCCCAGCTTTCTCGGTGTCCTGCTGGCTCTCAATCTCACTGGAACCAGTCCAAGGTATTTCAGGGTTGACGCTGCAAGACACTGTATGACTGCTAATAACACCCAAGCCTGCAACTGCTGACCCGGTCTAATTCGAGACAGCGTCCGTGCCTGCTGCTGTCTTATGGGCCCATGCTGCAGCTATTCCCATCAGGGCTCCGACCCGGGGCGGGGGCAGGAAAGGTCGCGTGTCCTGAGCTAATTGGATTTAAAGGCCATCTGTTTGAGCCTGGGTTTTTAAAGAGAGAGTTGCGCAATACAATCAAGGAAAGAGTGCCTGCGCCTGTACATCCGCAGCCCTGAGCATAAAGGCCGGTGCACCACTTTCTAACCGGGGACCAAAAGAAATTCATTCCACCTCCCCATGCCTCAGTTTTCTCATCCATGAAACAGATGTTAAAGAATTAAATGAGGGCCAGCACTGTGGCTCAATAGGCTAATCCTCCACCTGCGGCACCGGCACAACAGGTTCTAGTCCCTGTCAGGGCGCCGGATTCTGTCCCGGTTGCCCCTCTTCCAGGCCAGCTCTCTGCTGTGGCCCAGGAGTGTAGTGGAGGATGGCCCAAGTGCTTGGGCCCTGCACCCCATGGGAGACCAGGAGAAGCACCTGGCTCCTGGCTTTGGATCAGCACGGTGCAACAGCCACAGTGGCCATTGAGGGGTGAACCAACGGAAAAGGAAGACCTTTCTGTCTGTCTCTCCCTCTCACTGTCCACTCTGCCTGTCCAAAAAAAAAAAAAAAGAATTAAATGAGACAAACTAAAGTGCCCTTGCACAGTGAGTTCGAGCACGTAGTAAGCTCGCCACAGCTATTATCCCCTTGCATCCACCCCCATTTCTCTCACAGTGATCCAACAGCTGGAACTCACATCCATCCCCTTAATAGGTACAGGAACGCGGACCTGTCCTCCAACCTCCGCGTTTCCCCTTCCTGACTGGGGTGAGAGAGGTCTGAGCTGGGAGCATCAAACTGGGCCACATCAACAAGTGGAAGGAGGAGAAACCACGGAGGTAGCTTGTAGGTCAAGAAGGAAAATAGGGTGAGGTCGGAACAGCGGCCATAGCAGCATTCACACACCCGTCAGCAGGTGAGGTGATGGATGAAGAAGATGACAAGTGCGGGAGATGAAGCCGCTCTGGGAGGGCGGAGGAATGAGCTAGGAATGAGGGAAAAGCTAAAAACCAAACTCACTGCTGTCAAGTGATGACATCAAGACTGGAACATCTTGGTACACTGGAGTCAGGAAGGAGAGAGAGAAACAAAAAAGAAATCGGAAGCCAGGGGTTCTGTTGAGTCCAGGACACTGCGGTGTTTGGTGAAATCCTTCACGGGGGTCCAGCAAGGCTGATGAACCTGGACGACTCTGATTTATTATGATCGAGAACAGGTTCAGGAAGGAAACAGCCCAGTGACCTGTGACGCAGTGCTGGGAGAGGCCACGTGAGAATCCGTGGGGCAATGGGATTCCACCCAGAGTTCCAGGGTCTCCAGCGGAGAGACAGTGTCGGAACGTCACTGCATTCCGCTGTGTGAGGCTCAGAGGAGGCGCAGGTGAAGTCCTCGTGGGTGTGTTGGCCCCGCCCCCACCCTCCTGTCCAGTCTTAGATGCTCAAGCAGCACCGGAGACAGCAGGAAGAAGGAGGAGAAGAGAATGTGAACTCAATCCTGTAGCTAATTATTTTCATTTTATTTGAAATGCAGAGAGAGAGATACAGAAAGATCTTCCAGCCCTTGGTTCATTTCCCAAATACCTACAACAGCCATATCTAGATGAGGCCAAAGCCAGGAGCCCAGAATTCAGTTTGGGCCTTCCACATGAGTGGCAGGGACCCAATCATTTGAGCCGTCACCAGCTGCCTTCCAGGTTACGCGTTAGTAGGAAGCTGGGATTGGAAGCAGAGCTGGGACGTGAACCCAGGTCTCAGGAACTCCAGTATGAGCTCTGAGCACCAAGCAGCATATTAACCACTGCACCACATTCCCGCTCTTCAACCACGTATTTCTTGGGCATCTGTGTGTGCCAGACACCACGCACAAGCATTCACATGGGTGCAGACGTGTTTGTAGTGCATCCCGCACCAGATCGACTTTCTTCCGTTCTACTTACGCAAACCTGCTCATGTGCCTCTCAGCAGGTAAGTGGGGAAACAAGTCCTGATACAGCCATGCAGAGGAACACCACTCAGCAACAAAAAGGAGGTGTTACTCGGACACGTAAGAGCACTGATGCTTCCATCAGCATCCTGCCGGGGAACCAAGAGAAACGTGAAGACCGAATCCTGTGTGGTTCCACCTGGATGAAACTGCTGAGCAGGTCAATCTAACATAGAACTACAGAAAGCAGGCCGGTGGCACCCAGGACCAGGGTTGGGTGGTGGCAATTTGACTGGGAAAGGAGGAAACAGAACCCTGGGGTGATAGAAATATCCCGTATGTCATCACCATGGCTGTCAGGCTCATCACACTGTGTGCCTGGGTGGACTTTTTTTTTAGGATGTTTATTTATTTTTTTGAAAGACAGAGAGATAGAAAGACACAGACAGACAGAAATAAAGAGATCTTCCATCTACTGGTTCACTCCACATACGGCCCCAGCAGCCAGGGCTAGGCCAGGCTGCTGTTGATAATGTCAATTTTCTTCTTTTTTTTTTTTTTAAACTTGAAATGGCTCACAGAGAGTAACACTAATACTCCATATAAATTAAGAAATGGAGGAAAGGAAGGCTGGGCCTGAGGTGCAGCCAGCGAGAAATTAATCCACACAGTTCCCATCCATCACTCGGTCGAGGGGAGCTGCACCCTGGGCTCTGAGCTTCCCAGGAGCCAAGACATTTTCCCCTTCGGAGGAAAAGCCTCCTTCCCAACTGTCCACACATCCGAAAGAGAACTCACAGGGCTCACACGATGAAATCGGATCACAGAGCCACGGTGCCCTACGTATCATGGGAACCCGGGGAAGGAAGTGACTCACTCTGTTTGGGAAAACCAGGAAATGCTCCGGAGAGGAGGTAACACACACAGAAGCAGCGAGTGCTGACTGTCCGGAGCCTGGATGTGAAAGGGCTGAGGCCGGGCCTCCGCGTGGGAAATGATGCGTGCGTGTCACTCATTTCCTGGCTCCTCACCTCTAAGGAGGTGAGAGCAGAGGTGTGGTTTCAGGAAACAGGAAGACGACTGGAGCCTGGACTGCCAGCAGCGGGAGAGGCTTTTAAAGCATTTCCCCATCCAGAGGAGGGTGAGATCCCAGCTGTGTCAGCATTAACCCTTTCACTCCCGGGCTCTGGGGAGCTGGAGGGGGTCCCAGGAGGGGATCGGAGCTGGTGGGGAACTAAGAACGAGTCTCCCACGCCGAGCACGTTCGGATTTTGCCAGCAGCCCAGGCTAGATCTTGCCCAGCTCTCAGCGGTGGGTCGCCCCTGCCCAGGCCCACGCCTCTCCTCCCAGCTGCCTCGCTCAGTCCACTCAGTCGGAGTCATGCCCGATTATCACCAGCTAATGAGAATTCCTGGTCTTGGTCCACTGCCCACACGGAGGAATTCGCTATTCATGAGAAATGTCAGCTTCAGGAAAGAGGCCCTGTGTGTCAGCTCTTTTTCCCACATTCAGGGTTTGCAGCTGACAGGGGCTAGTTTCACATGATTTGCTGATGGGGGGAGAGGCCGTAATCCAGGAAACCACTCTGGCAAATCACCCCTGGGCCAGCAGAGCGCTCTGGAACATTCCCTCTACGTTTCCCCTTAGCAATCCTTTGGAAAGGGGAGCCTGGCGTGGAAGACTTGGTTTCTAAGGGAATGATAGAGGAGAACGAGAAAGGTGCCACCCTTGCCCCAAGTTCATTTTTCCCCACGTCCACAGAGCACGGCTGTTACAGAGCAAGTGACTCGAGGCTTCCACAGGCTCCAGGGCCCAGCAGAGATGAGAGTCCCAGTGAGGAATGCTGGCCATTCAGGACGGGACATTCCTTCCCAGTGACATTCCTTCCCATTCATTCACAGGCCTGAAACGCAGCAGGTGCGAATGCACAGATTCCTGCACTGGGGAGGAGAGGGAGCTCCAGCCCCTCGGGGAGCAAACCTCTCTCCAGCCCCTCGGGGAGCAAACCTCTCTCCAGCCCCTCGGGGAGCAAACCTCTCTCGTCTCTGGCCACTCGGCTGTCTGTCTTCCTCCTCATCTGCCCGCTGGACCAGCAGGTGTTGCTTTGGACGAATGCCAACAGAACCATCCCACGGAAGGCTCTGCCCGGAGGATGTACTTCCTGGGCCACCAGGCTGGGAAGGAAGGGATGTTTCCGAAGGGGACATCCTTGGGTGTAGAATCTGAAATGCAAGTGTTTGGCGTGGTGCTCTCTGGGTGGGACTGAAGGCAGGAAACACGCTTCACAAACACTCAGAGAGACGAGGAAGGACTCCCATGGGCCACCTGAACAGCTCTCCTCAGGGACTCCCCCATCCCCTGCCAAGTTCCCAAATGCAGAGATAGCAAAGTGTTGAAGTAGTCGGCAGCAGAGCTGGGACTAGACCTTGCCTTGGGGTGTCTAAATTGTAATGGCTGTGTTTGTATGCACTCCCTAGTTTGCAGGAGCTCTCCATCGAGCCTCCTACAGCCCAGTAAGGAGCGTTCAGAAGGCTTTGTCGAGACTGGGAAACTGAGACCCCAAAACAGGCCCCTAGACACACGTGTAGCTGGTCAAGAGCAAACCAAGGCGGCAATCAACAGCAAGCGGTCAGCAAGTAGCGGTCAACAGCTTGGGGCTGCCATCAGAGGAATCTGTGTTGACATCCTGGCTGGCTGCCCTGAGTTTGCTACCTCCCTCCACGGAGCCTGCTTCCTCCTCTGCAACGTGGCATACGCTCCAGGGCCCCACTGCCGGGGAGCATGGCTCAACTGCTTAGCAGGCGATGGTCACGGTCACGGGCTCTTACTGTCCTCGTCTATCTATCAGGCAAGGGTACTACTAGCACCCACCACACACACACACACACACACACACACACACACGGAGAGACAGAAGTCAGACCCACAAGGGCACACCCTGCATGATTCATTTATTTGATGCTGAAAAACAGACTGCTTAGTGAACATGGGATTCCCTTTGGGGTGAAGAAAATCCTTTGGAAATAGAGGTGATGATTGTGCAACATGGAGAAGTACCAAATGCCCTAGATCATTCACTTCAAGAATTTTTCTTGTTTGACAGGCAGAGTGGACAGTGAGTTAGAGAGACAGAGAGAAAGGTCTTCCTTTTTCTGTTGGTTCACCCCCCAATGGTGCTGCAGCCAGCGCACTGCGGCCGGCACTGCGCCGATCCAAAGCCAGGAGGCAGGTGCTTCTCCTGGTCTCCCATGCGGGTGCAGGGCCCAAGGACTTGGGCCATCCTCCACTGCCTTCCTGGGCCACAGCAGAGAGCTGGATTGGAAGAGGAGCAACCGGGACAGAATCCGGCGCCCTAACCAGGACTAGAACCCGGTGTGCTGGTGCCGCAGGTAGAGGATTAGCCTATTGAGCCGCAGCACCAGCCTTCAAGAATTTTTTTATTACTTTTTTAGATGTATTTATTTGAAATGTAAAGAGATACAAGGAGACAGAGAAAGAGAGAGATCTTCCACCTGCCGGTTCACTCCCCAAATACTAGAAACACCTTGTGCTTGGCCAGGCTAAAGCCAAGAGCCTAGAACTTAATCTGGGTCTCCCACATGGGTGGCAGGTTCTCAGCCATATGAGCCATCACCTGCTACCTCCCAAGGTGCACATTAGCAGGAAAACGTATTGGAATTAGAGTTTGGACTAAAACCCAAGTGCTCTGATATGGGATGTGGGCATCTCTAATCACAACTTAACCACTGTACCAAATGCCCATCCCAAATTGTTCACTTAAAAATAGTCAAAGTTGGGGCTGGTGTGTGGCCTAGTAGGGAAAGCCGCCTCCCGCCATGCTGGTATCCCATATGAATCCTGGTTCAAGTCCCGGCTGCTTCACTTCTGATCCAGCTCCCTACTAATGGCCTGGGAAAAAGCAGTGGAAGATGGCCCAAGTGCTTGGAGACTTGGATAAAGCTTCTGGCTCCTGGCTTTCACCTGGCTCAGCCCCAGCCATTGCTGCCATCTGGGGAGTAAACCAGTGGATGGAAGATCTCTCTTTCTCTCACTCTCTTTGTCTCACTCTCTCTCTCCTCTGTAATGCTTTCAAATAAATACATAAATAAATCTTTTTAAAAATAATCAATGTTTATGTTATGTAAATTTCACCTTAATTTTAAAAAGCATTTTTTTCATAGTCAATAATTTTATTTTTTAAAGATTTATTTATTTACTTGAAAGTCAGAATTACACAGAGAAAGAAGGAGAGGCAGACTGAGAGAGAGGTCTTCTATCCACTGGCTCACTCCCCAATCGGCTACAACAGCCGGAGCTATACCAATTCAAAGCCAGGAGCTTCTTCCAGGTCTCCCACACAGGTGCAGGGGCCAAAGGACTTG